TTCGGGTAGCGGCTGCGAGTTCCCACGTCATAAAAAAAAGGTAATTCTAGAAATAATAATAATAACCAGAATAATAGTAATAAAAATATATCTAAAAGTAGAGGAAACAATAGATCTAGAACTCCAAATAAATGGGGTAAAAGATGTTATAATTGTGGTGATCCTAACCATTTTATACGTGAGTGTCCTAAGAAGAAGAATAATAACACTACAAACAATAATAATGATAGCCAACAACATGTTAATGAGTTAGCCAGCATTACATTACTTGATCATAATTGTGGTATGTATGTATGAATGGTTTATTGATTCTGGATGCACTTACCATATGACTCCTTTAAAATCAATTTTTGTGAATACAAAACTTTAGAAAATTGCACTGTTTCCATGGATGATAATAGTGTTTCTAATATGCTTGGAATTGGTAGTGTAAATTTAAAATTTAACACTGGTTTTGTTTTAAAATTAAACAATGTGAGGCATGTTCCTGGTTTATCCAATAATCTATTATCTTATGCTGCCTTATCAGATTTAGAATTAGAGAGAAAATGGGAAAATGATTGTATGAAAATTACGAAGGGATCTTTAGTTGTGTTTAAAGATGTAAAGCGTAATAATCTGTACGTTACTTGTGTTGAACCAACTAATATGCCTGTAAACACAATAAATTCTGTTAAAGAGAATAGTAATTTGTGGCATAAGATATTAGGACACTTAAGCAATAAAGGATCAGAAATTTTACATAAAAATGGATCCTTAGAAAATATAAAATTTAATCCAATGTCTTTTTGTGATAATTGTGTGTATGGTAAACACCGTAGGGGTCCAATTTTCCCATCCCCCTAGTGAAAAACATGAATTATCTAAATCTGTGTTAGATTATTTGCATGTTGATGTGTGGGGCCCAACTAGTGAGCCCACACATGGTGGGTTTAGATATTTTTTTATCTATTATTGATGATTTTTCTAGAAAAACTTGAGTATTTCTTATGAAGAATAAATCTAATGTGTTTGAGATTTTCAAAAATTGGAAAATTAAAATTGAAAATCAAATTGGAAAGAAATTAAATATCTAAGAACTGATAACGATTTATAATTTTGTAACTCCTGGTTTGATGATTTTTGTCAAGAAAATGGTATAAATAGACATAGGACTGTCTCCTACACACCTCAACATAATTGGGTGGTTGAGAGGATAAACCGGACTCTATTGGAGAGAGTTCGAAGCCTTTTGGCTTCATTCGGTTTGTCTAAAAAATTTTGGGGGGAAGATGTTATGACAGCAGCTTATATAGTCAATAGATCACCCTCAATTCCCTTGAATGGTGCTTGTCCTAAATTTCGGTGGACTGGTAGAAAAAAATGATTTTTCAAATATTCGGGTGTTTGGGTGTTTTGCTTTTATATGTGTTAATAGTGATAAATTGGACCCTAGAGCTGAAAATGTGTTTTCTTGGGTTATTCGGAGAGAGTTAAGAGGTATAGATTGTGGTTAAGATCTAAACCTGGTTTTAAAATTGTTATTAGTATAGATGTATTTTCAATAAAAATGAAATGCCCTGTTTAAATACTAAAAAATCTGTTTTGGATAAATATTAAATTAATATAATAAATTTAGACTCTAGTAATATTCCAAATAAGATGGAGTATAATGTTGTTAGTATAGGAGAGGTTGAAAATAATGTTGAAATTCGTGTACAATCTGATGTGAGAGATGAAAGTGTTTCTGAAAATGAGAATAACATTTCTAAAAATCAAAATAAATATGATTTTGATAATAGTAATCAAAATGAATCTGATTTTGATAATAGTAATCAAAATGGGTTAGAAAATTACCAATTAGCTAGAGATAGGGATATAATAGTCCCTAGGTTGTCTTCTAGATTTGGTGATTTTGATTTGTCTTCTTTGGCTTTTAAAGGTGTGTTTGTTTGGGGGTTTGGATTTTGAGTTGGGATTTGAATAGTAAAAATTTTGAATTTGAATAGTTGTATGATGTGATATAAATAGGTGTTGATGTGATGTTTTGAATGTAAAATTGATTTTTAGTATAATATAAAAAATGAAAAATAGGTGTTTGATTTGATGTTTTTGGGGGGAAAAAATTGGATGAATAGTAGAAATCTTATTAAATCCCCCAAACAAACACACCCTTAATGTATTTGAGAATTTAGATGGTAATAAACTTAAGACATTTAGAGAGGCCATGAATTTTGAAAATAAACATCAGTGGTTAAAAGCAACAAAAGAGGAAATGGATTCATTATATAATAATAAAACTTAGTGTTTAGTTCCTAAACCTCCTAATTGTTCGTTTGTTGACTGTAAATGGATTTATAAAGTTAAATAAGAAGATAATGGAATTAGGTTTCAGGCTAGATTAGTAGCTAAGAATTTTACCCAAAAGGAATAAATAGATTATAATGATATTTTTGCCTTTGTTGTCAAATTTACCACTGTTAGAGTCATGTTAGCTCTAGTTGCATTTTATGATTGAAAGCTAAAACGATTAGATGTTAAAACAGCCTTTTTACATAGGGAATTAAATGAGAAAATTTATATGGAACAACCTGAAGGTTTTGTTGATAAAAACAAAATGAATCATGTTTGTTTGTTGAATAAGTCATTGTATGGTTTAAAACAGTCACTTAGACAATGAAATATCAAATTTGATAATTGTATGAAAAATCTTGATTTTACTAAAAGCAAATTTGATTATTGTTTGTATTTTAAAACTGTTAAAAACCAACCTGTTTTTCTTCTTATTTATGTGGATGATATGTTGATTATTAGTCCATATTTAAAGCTGATTGATCAAGTGACTAAATGTTTATATGATAATTTTGAAATGAAACTGTTGTGTGATGCCAAAGTGATTTTAGGCATGTGTATCACTAGGGATAGAAAAAATTCAAGACTTTTTTTGAATCAGTTTGCCTATATTTCAAAAATTCTTAAGAAGCTTTCTATGAGTGATGCTAAATCTGTTTCTGTTCCTATGGCTTCTAATTTTGTGTTAAGTAGGGATCAATGTCCTAAGTCAGAATCTGATTTTGAATATATGAAACATGTGTCATATGCTAATGCAATAGGTTCCAAAATGTACTTAATGGCTAGCACTAGGCCAGATTTAGCTTATGTTATTAGTTGTTTAAGTAGGTATATGTCGAACTCTGGTTTAGAACATTGATATGCATTGAAATAGGTCTTTAGATACTTAGTTGGTACAATAAATATTGGTCTTATATTTGGTAAACATACTGAAAATGTTAAATTAGAGGGTACAATAAATATTGGTCATATATTTGGTCTTATATTTTGTGGATTCGAATTATGCAAATGATAGAGATATTAGGAAAAGTACAACTTCTTATGTTTTTACTTTGAACTTTTATAAGTTGGAAATCTCAATTACAACACATTGTAGCACTATCCACAACAGAATCTGAATATGTTGCAATAACTGAAGCTTAAAAGGAAGCATTGTGGTTAAAAGGTTTAATCAATGAATTAGGTTATTTGCAGCATGTTGTTACTGTTCTTTCGGATAGTAAGTCGGGAATCCAGTTATGCAAAAAGCCTGTATTTCATGACAGAACCAAACATATTGATGTGCGTTTTCATTTCATACGTGATATTGTATCTAAAAGAATATTAAAATTGGAAAAGATTCCTTCTGAATATAACCCATCTGATATGGGTATTAAAGTTTTGTCTGCAAACAAATTAGTATCTTGTATGAAATATATACACTGTGATACTTTTGATTAGCCTTATAATACTTGAAGTAGTTGGTAGGCTAAGTTAATGTTTTGTGGACTGACATTATGAATTTTATGTTTGCAGGTAAATATATGGGCGATGATATTCCCCAACTACTCAGACTAAAAATCCGGTGGAGGATTTGTTGGATTTTATAATCTAGTGGATTCACCCCATTAATAAGGCATGAACACACCCATTATTGCAGCCCATGAAAATTAGGCCCAAACCCGCGACCTTTGGGTTGACCCGTGCTCTCAACCTGCGCCCGCAACCCACGACCCGCTGAGGATCAGCGTCTTTCTTAGACATTGCGCTGACCTTCTGATTTGGAGTTTTAATCTTGACCGTTGGATCTCTTTTGACCTAGGTATATATATGAAGGATGAGAGAGAAGCCGCCATAATATACAATCTCTTCCTCTCTCTACAACGTCTCTCTAGCCTCTCTCATCCTCTCCCTAAACCCCTTCTCCGGCGATGGTTTTGTGACGGTTCACGGCGGTGCTTTCCATCTTGTGGAGCTCCTTAGCACGTTCGATTTTCCCCTGTGTTGGTTGTTTCAAGCTCCAAAGGGATCGTTCAATCTTGTAGGCGCTCGTTCGCCTTGTTTTCTTCTCTGCGGGGATCTCTTTTTATTTGTCGTGGGTTGTTAGGGTAGATTTTTGTGTGTTCGTCGCGTTTTGGGTGTATGTTTGTATCGATTTTGCGTTTCGTGAGTTGGTTTGGAGCTGAGCCTACAGAAACCAAAATACTAGTTCAATATTTTTACTCGATTTCGTTAATAAAATTTTTGATCTGTTCATATTTTACAATAACAACAGCCTCTCAAAAACCATTACAATAAAATTTTTTTACGTGATTTATAAGTGCGTTGATCGTTCACATTTTGTTATGAAAATTATCGGTACAGAGATTTTTTGTAACTCGAGTATATACACTGATAAAAAATCAATTCAATATCATTACAAATAACTTTTTATAACAAAAAATGACCATTTTTAGCCATTTTGAATCCGAATCTTAATTTGGCAGTGAATAAAGTACTTCAACATTTCACATCAAATATAAGAAAATATCAAACGAGTAAACAACACTTAATGTATAGAGATTAGTGTGAAAGCAGCTACTAGAAACAAACACCCCCCTTTACATAAAATAGTCATATAATAATAAATAAATGCATTAAAAAAATTAACACGTGTAAATATGTATATATATATATATATATTCCCGTCCCCATTTAATACATACCTTCAACACAACTTCCCCCAATTCCATCTCTCCACCACTACTGCCGCCGCAGAGTCGTGTATATTAAATATTTCTATTAGAACAGAGATTAATCAATCGCGATCATGATTAAAAGGAAAAAGATAATCTTAGTACCTTACCCAGCGCAAGGTCACGTGACTCCGATCCTCAAGCTCGCCGCCGTCCTCTCCAATCTCTCATTCCGGCCGGTAATCGTCGTTCCGGAATTCATCCAACGCCGCATCTCGCCGCGAATCGACGCCGGAATTATCTGCCTACCTATCTCCGACGGCCTCCCCGAAGACGCGCCTAGGGATTTCTTTGCCGTCGAGCGCGCCATGGAGGAAAACATGCCGCCGGCGCTCGAATCGATCATCCGCGCCGAGGAGGACGGCCAAATTGCGTGTCTGGTGGCGGATTTGCTGGCGTCGTGGTCAATCGACGTCGCTCGCCGCTGCGGCGTCCCGGCGGCGGGGTTCTGGCCGGCAATGCACGCCACTTACCGCCTTATCGCCGCCGTTCCGCAACTCATCCAAACAGGACTTATCTCTGAAAACGGTTAGTACTATTTATTTTGTTGTATTTTCTCTTAGGAGCTGTTAGTTAGTGCATTTTGTTGGATTATATGAAATTTGGATTTTAAATTCCTAATAAATTTATATTTAGTTATAAAATTGATAACGAAATTTTAAGTGTACGAGATTTTAAAATTCTGCAAATATAAGATTTTTCAGTAACAGTCATTATTTTTCATTTTACTATTATATCCTCCTATAAAAAAAATATATTTCTTTTCCCTTTTAATATTAAATATATATAAATATATATATTTACATTTAAATTATATTTTCTTAATTTTATAAAATATAATATTATATTTAAGCATACTATTACAAATCATATATTTATTTATAAAAATGTTATATATATTTAATTCTTTTACCAATGATAATTTAAATAAATTAATAATTTAAAATATCAATTAATAATTTAAATTTATTTTAATGGTGTATTAATTTTGTATTTTTAGTTTCAATTATTTTTTTTTATATTAAATATAAAAAAGAATGTCGATAGTATAAAAAATAATTAAATTACAGTATTTTTTAGTGTATAGATGATATATTACAATATATATTTTGTATGAATATATATTATATATTTTATTATTAATCGAAAATCTTATTAATTTTTTTTTTATTATAATACACTAATAAAAAATAAAATTTACGGAAAAAATAAATGGATGTAAAGTTTAATTTAGCACAATAAATAAAATTAGTGAAAGGATAATTACGTCATTTAAAATATCAAAAATCAAAATTTTTAAACCAAACACATGATAGAATTCTAAAGCTAAATATAATAAATCCTATCACATATAAAATTTACTGCAAAATCTCAATCTCATCGTAAACGTCATTGAACCAAATAGCACCTAAGCCTTTTCTTTTATTATTTTCATCTACTTTTTGTTATAAATAAATAAAAAAATCTCATAGTAATATTAAAAATATGTGCAGCTAGTGATTTTTTGCGTTTTTTTAATATAATTGTATTTTTGTAAGAAATAATAATATACATTATTTTATATGGAAACTTAAAAATTTAATATTCTTCGATCAATTATAAACTAATTTTTTAGTTTATTAATTAGATTATTTTATCATTTTAATCGTGTAATTGAAATTTATCACAAATTAATTTTATAAGTAAAATTTTTTGCAATTTTAGTCTTCCGGAACCGGAAATACTTACATGGCATCCATGTAGCTCACCGGAGGATACGTGTCCGCCAGACACCTAATGGGCACGTAGATTTTTATTTTTTTAATTTTTTTTAAATCTTTAATTTTCAATTTTTTTTTGAAAATTTTTAAATTTTTTATAAAAAAAATAAATTAAAATTTTTTAAATAAAATTTAAAAAATTTGGGTAAATTACTTTTTTTTAGTTTCATATCTTAAAGCAGTTATGTAAGTAAAAAAATTTCATTAAAATAGTCCTTCGATGCCGGATTCGCCATGCCGGCCCGCCGCTGCTGACTTAGTTGACATATCACCGCACGTAGATGCTACATTGGAGGACCATTTTAGCAAAAAATTTTTACTTATAAGACTATTTTCAAACACCATTTAAAGTTTTGAAAATGATAAAGGAGGTCATATATTAGACTAAAAGAATAGTTTACCAAGACATTTTGTAAAATAAAAATAAAATTCACGTGTCGCTTACATGGCATCTACGTGGCGATGACATGTCAGCCGCGTTAGCACCACATCAGCAACGACGGGCCAGCGTGGCGAGTCCGGCACCGGAGGACTAGCGAAAAATTTTTACTTACGAGACTATTTTCAAACATTCAGATACAGGACTAAAAGAACAATTTACTCTAAAAATTTTCCACGCGTCGCTGACGTGACATTTACGTAGCGATGACATGTCAGTCGCGTCAACGTCATGCCAGCAACGGCGGACAAGCGTAGCAAGTCCAACACCGGATGACCAGTTTTAACGTAAAACTTTACTTGCAGGATTATTTTCAAACATAATTTATTTAAAGTCCTAAAACGATAAATATGTCATATACCGGACTAAAAAATATTTTACCCTATAAAAAATTTTAGTTTGAATTTATTTATTTTTATATAAAATATAAAAAGTTAGTAATATAAAAAATAATATATTGTATTCAATATTAATTTATTATAAAAGAAAACATAAAATATTATATATATATAATAAAATTGTTCATAACTTCCTTGTGATTTCAAAATTTAGCGTAAAATCTCCCCGTACTTTAAAAATTGATACTTTAAAAAAAGATATTTATACTTTAAAAAACGTTGTATGAAACTACACATCCATGAAATATTCCTTGTGTGATGAGAATATGATCTTTAATCTGTATTTTTTGTATGACAGAGGAATTTTATGTAATATTGTTTAAAATATAAGAGAACGTAATGCAATTTTTAAAATAAAGTAAAGATTTACACTGAATTTTGAAATCACATAGAAATTTTATACAATATTTTTAAAAACATAAAAGAATATCATGCAATTTTTAAAATAAATTGAGAATTTACGTTGAGTTTCGTAACAATAATAAAATTATTTACAATTTTGCCTATATATATTGGGTATCTATCACCGGTTTTTATTGTTTTTGGGTGAAAATATATTATTTTTATAAATTGATCTGTAGGATGGCGTAGATAGTTAATAGTTAATTGTGTTTGTTCGGGGGTTTTGAATTTTGAGTTAGGATTTGAATAGTAAAAATTTTAAATTTGAATAGTTGTATGATGTGATATAAATAAGTACTGATGTGATATTTTGAATGTAAAATTGATTTTTAATATAATATAAAAAATAAAAAATAGGTATTTAATTTGATATTTTTTAGAGAAAAAAATGAAATGAAAAGTGAAAATCCAATCCCCAAACAAACAATCGAAGAGATTAATTATTATAATTGCGTTGGTCAACTTAAATTTAATTCGTGTGTGGCACTTTAATTGGCCACGTGTGTCCGATTACTATAATGTAGATAAATTAATTTGTTTTATATACTTTCATTTTTAGACTATTATATATATTTATATTTAATTTTAAGATATTTAGAAGTAACTAATAATTTGTTTTTTAAATTATTTTTTATACGATTTTTAATATATATAATATTTATATTTTTAAAAAAATTAAAAAAGAAATTCAAAATAAAATATTATTTTATAGTATATTACTCTCTCCGTTCCAAAAAGAAGTATCTATTTGTTTTTTTGCATGTAATTTTAGAAATATTAGTATTATATTGGGATATAGTAAGAATGAAGTAGAAATGACTAAAATAATCTTGTTAGTACGTGTGATATAAAGGTAATGACATTTGTGTAATATATTGTAAGTTGTAAGGGTATTTGTAATGTTAGATAAAAGTACAGTTACTAAAAAAAATAGATACTTTATTATGGGACAGACTAAAATGGAAAAATAGATACTTTGTTATAGACGGGGGAAGTATTAACTTTTTATACTTTCTAAAAAAAAATTCAATCCAAAACATAAAACAAACAAATTCGTATAAAAAACTTAAAACTAAAAATCATTATAAAAGTTGGGATGTGTTTATACTTTTATTTTAATGCCCTGTTCGCTTAGATGAATTATTATTTAAATGTGATATGAGAATTATATCAAAAATATAAAATATATTATTTTAAATTTATTTTTTTACTTTTGTAATCGGTATTTGAATTTTTCTTTAAATTTTTTAATTTTGTAATAAATATTTTATATTATTTATTATTATGTTTTAGGGTTCACAATTTTCAATATTGGACTTGGTAAACAAAACCTTTGTGTGTATATATAAATATATATATATATATATTTATGTTAATTATGAAGAAGATATATACATAATTTAAAGGGTAAACTATTTTTTTAATCCTGTAATTGGACCCTTTTATCATTTTAGTCCCGTAAGTGGAGCATGTCGCAAACTAGTCCCATAAGTAAATTTTTTTTGTTGTTTTAGTCCTCCGGCGCCGGAGACGCCCGCGTAGCTCGCCGGAGGTGACGTGTCCGCCAGGTGTCCCGCCAGGTCAGCGACACCTGGCAGACACGTGGATTTATTTATTTTTTTAATTTTTTTTTAATTGGACCAAATAAAAAAAAAAACAAATAAAATTAAAAATAAATTAAAAATAAGTTATAAAAAAAATTAAAAAATGAAATAAAAAATCCACATGTCCGCTAGGTGTCGCTAACCTAGCGGGACACCTAGCGGACACGTCACCTCCTGCGAGCCACGCGGGCGTTTCCGGCGCCGGAGGACCAAAACAACGAAAAATCTTTACTTGTGAAATTAGTTTGCGACAGGCTCCACTTACGGGACTAAAATGATAAGAGTCCAGTTATGAGATTAAAAAAAACAGTTTATCCTAATTTAAAATAGTATGTTAAAATATATTGTATGAGCCTATTTATATTTATATTTGTATTTGTATTTTCTATAATATTAATTGAAAAATGTATTAAAAATATTTGTTAGAAAAATATAACTATGGATAAAAAAACTTTAAATAAGTGCCGTCTTTTATTATGTTGAATAATGATAATAATAATAATAATAATTTCTTTTTAGTTTAAAATGAATTTAGAGGTTTATATTTTTTATTTAAATAATACTATTTGATACTCCCTCCTGTTCAAATTTGGAGTTTTGTATTAAATTAAAAAATATTTTATTAGTGAACAGAAATGTATAAGAATTTTTAATATTTTTGTCATTTGAATTTATGTATAAAATAACTGTACATGTAATGATATTTGTTGTAATTTAAGTAGAAGATAAATATATTTTAGTATTAGTGTATGGTTATTTTTTTCTAAAAATATGAAATAGATACTTTAAAATGTGACAGATGAAAATGGTTACAATAGTACTTTGAATTAGAACGGAATGAGTATAATATTTCGTAATAAATAAAATATATATTTTTTAGAAAAAAACTGTGTCCGAGTGTGTTTGTTTAGTATTTTAATTTGAGTTATTTTTTATATGGGATTTAGAAAATTCTGTCAATAATATAAAAAAATAATCATTTGTATTAAATTATTAATTTTTTGTACGATAATAAAATATAAATTATTTATATTCTGTTTGATGTATATATAACAATATTTTTTTATTAATATTCACCAAAAATTGTGTCCGGTAAAAAAAAAAAATTATTAAATGAACAAACCTCTGGAGTTCAAATACTAGAAAATTAAAAATAAGTTGAAAAGAAGCACACCCCATATGCTATTGGATATAAAATAGTTGTATGATGTAATATAAATAAATATTAATGTGATATTTTGAATAAAAAATTATTTTTAGTATAATATAAAAAAATAAATAATTTAATTTAATTTTAATTTGATATTATAGAAAAAAATGAATAATAGAAAATTTCGAACAATCTCAAAGTAACACAACCTAATAAGTTATGTTGTTTTATTTCATGTAGGATTACCAAGAAATCCCAATGCTCCTATAAAGTTATCATCCATGGATCCCATCTTCTCTACAAATGATCTCCCATGGCTCATTGGCTCTCTTTCTTCGCGAATTCGGAGGTTTCGATTTTGGACAAGAACCCTCCATCGAGCCGAATCCTTGCGATGCATTCTCGTCAACTCGTTCCCCCTCGAATCACCCTCCAACATTAATCCTATGCAACAAGTTTTAGAAATCGGGCCAATAATCATGCAACCCGCGACGGTAGCCAATGCCACATTTTGGGAAGAGGACTTCACTTGCCTCGATTGGCTCGACGAGCACGATGTGGGCTCCGTTGTTTACGTGTCATTTGGAAGTTGGGTGGGCCCCATTGATGACGGTAATACTTAACGATTTTTTATATTTTGTTATAATTCTTTAGAGTAAGTCTGTTGGTATTACTTGGTTATATCAATTAGATTAAGTAATTATTATTTGAGTCTATCTCATATCATACTTGATTTTATCATTGTTCTTCATGATGAGTTTAAAACTATATGAAATTTTTTCTTATGTGTTCAAAAATATTACAGTGAATTCCTTAATATTTTAAAAAATATTGCGTATAATTCCCTTTTAAAGGGATCCCATGGAATTTTATGTAATATTTTCGAAAATACAAATTTTTTTTACATATTCTTTTGAAATTCTGTGCAATATTTTCGAAAATATAAGAAAACTTCATATAGTTTCAAAATCATGAAAGAATATGATATAAACTTTTTAAATCAAACGTGGGTGATGAATACTTTTATCTATTATTAATAAGATACAACTTTAAAAAGTACTAATATTGTAATATATGACAGGTAAGATAAAAACCTTAGCCCTAACGCTCGAAGCATTGGGGTTGTCATTTGTATGGGTGTTAGGGCATGCATGGCGCCGAGGGCTTCCGCTAGGGTATGCTGCTAGAGTGGCAACACATGGGAAGATTGTCTCGTGGGCCCCGCAAACGGAGGTGCTTCAGCACCCGGCCGTCGGATTTTATATCTGTCATTGTGGATGGAATTCGACCATGGAGGCAATACTTTGTAAGAAACCTTTGTTATGCTATCCTATTGCAGGGGATCAATTTTTAAACTGTCGATATATTGTGGATGTGTGGAAAATCGGAGTGCATATAAAAGGATTTGATTTTGAAGAAGTAAAAAATGGGATTGAGTGGATTGTCGAAAATGACGAAGTGAGTACTCGCATCGAGAAGTTGAATGAGAAGATATTCGGAAATGATGGGAGCTTCAAGGCGATGAGTAATTTTTCTACCTTTGTTGAAGATATTAATATGTAAGTTCAAATAGATGTTCATTTCATAAATTTTGGTTGGTTTTGTTTTTGTTTTTTTTTTATGCACCATAATTAGTTTTGAAGGGTGATCAAAACTATGATTACATCTACATTATTCACTTACGTTTCATACTTACGGGATTATTGTGAAATGCAAGTAATTTTTAATTTTTACATATAAGAATGTTTGTTCAATCATTTGTGCTTGATTTTAATTTCAAGTTAATCTTTTTACTATTATTTCGTATGATTTTCACTAAACATATTTTTTATTATTTAAATTAAATTTAAATAAAAAGTTTAAATTCAAACAAAATCAAATAAACGATTGGGACAAATTAATGGTTTGTTTGTTTGGCTTCTCAAAAGTCATCTCACAAGCAATGCGCACTTAAAAATTATTGTCTACTTTTTTTTTAAAAAAAAAAAGTGAATTCAAATGTACTTTTTATATCTTTTTCCGATAAATAAATACATTTATACATATTCAAAATTCTTTATTTAAATAAAAAACTAATCATCTTAATAATATGTAATTAAATATTTTGGTTTGTCTGTATTATGTCAATACCTGTCAATACTAAATATATTATGTGAAAATATTTTTAAATCCAAATATTTTGGAAAGTAGATAATTTGTAATAATGTGGTCCAAAAATGACCTCCGGTAATAGGGTCATGCCATAAATACGCCAAGTTGTCCCCTCTATCATATAAGGGTTGATAAGAGATTGGGGCGGTGGTGCAATTGCACGCTTTCCCTGGGCTATTCGGCAGCTGTATCTGCGGGTTGTTGGAATGAGCTAACGGATGTTGCGGAAACTAAGGAATAGGTCCTTGACATGGGGAACTTATGCATATTCTCTCGGTCCACTTTGTTGGAATATATGGGTATTGCGAGAATAAACTCTACCGTGAAACCGAGTTGAAGATGGATTTTCTTTCCGAAAATTAGATACGCCTCAGTAGTGCCTTCGGTAGCTGACGTTCTAACCTAAAAATAAAACGGTTTCTGTCTCTAATGAGAGTGGAACCTCTAATCGTTGGAGGTCCAACGAACAAAAACGAGAGAGAAACTGAGCTGGGGAGGTTTAGAAGAGAGGAGAGAATGAAGAGAGAGTTGTTGGTATTGATATTAGGATGAAGAGGGGAGACCATTTATATAGGTGTCTCCACTCGGTCAAAATAGTAGGGGATTAATTACGTTCATAATTACAACCTTAATTATCGATATAATTTATTCTAAATTCAAACCTTCCGTTTGAAGCAGTCGTAATTGATTATAATTACAAACTTTCTGTTTGTAACGATCGTAATTTATTCTAATTTCAAACCTTTCGTTTGAAACGATTGTAATTTATTCTAATTTCAAACGTTCCGTTTGAGATTATAATAAATCTATCAAACGGATAATATTTTATCCAAATAATACTGCGACTTAGGCCATATACCCGAGTTTAATTTGAGGTTGTACAATTTAGTTTGTCTCGAGACAGACAAAATAGCCAAAATATTCACTACCCCCAAAAAAGTCATTTGGTGCGGAAAAAACCGCAGCAAGTCGGTGCCATTTATGCTTACATGGCGCGGTCATTGTCACGGTTGGAATCCACAGCCGAATGGTGCTTCCAAATATCGACGGTGCCGCAGTCCGTACTGTAAATAACACTATAGGCGCCAAAAGTGGTGCCAATCATAAATAATTTATTTTAAAAAATAAATAATAGGCGCCGAAAGTGGCGCCAATCATAATTATTTTTTTTTAAAAAAAAATAAATGATAGGCGCCGAAAGTGGTGCCAATCTTAATTAATTTTTTTTAAAAAAATAAATAATAGACGCCAATGATGGCGCAAAATTTAATTAATAATAAATAAATTATATTTTATTTTTGGTGCCAATAATCGCTCCACACAAAGTAGTGCCTTCAGAAACTACTGATCATCAATAAATATATTTACGGATTATAAGCAAACTTCAAATTATAAGGCATATAACCACCAAATAGCTTTGGACAACCAAAAAATCATAGAATTGGTAATACCACTTAATCAGAGCTGAACTCACATAGAATTGGATAACAACAGGAAGTAGAGATTGGTCCACCAGATTCCTTAGCTCCTCAGACCAGGAATTCTAAAGAAGATACAAAACATCTGAGAGTGAAGCAACTTGCGTTTTCCTGTTTTCAGCACCCATGGAGTGATTTGCAACAAGACAAACACTGCTCCAAATCTTAAGCATCCAAAACAGCCATGGGGAGTATTTTCAAGAGTCCCAACTTCTGATGCATTTTTCTTTGGAACCCATTACTAACTAATGGTTCTTCTGATTTAGGTTGTTCAATATCCCAGAGAAACCCATTTTCCTTCTCCACAAAAAGTTTGTCAAAATCATTGCCATTGGTTGTAGAACAAGATTCAACATATGCAATGTAGCTATCTGCAACAACCAAACCATGAGTTAGACATATGCAGAACAATCTCGTAAATACAGGATAACAAATCGAAAACTTTCAGATACACACAAACATGCTGAACTGACACAATAGACTAAACTTACTAGCACAAACAAAAAGCAAGCCTCCACTCTTACACATGCATACTCAAGAAAATGTATTCTCACCTGAACAAAAACCAAAGATAAATTCCCAGAGCATTCATTCACATTGATTCAAAACTGACTTGAATACCTAAAATTGTTACATCATTCAAAACTGACTTGAAACTTAGTCTGTGTCCCTCTGCTGCATAAGTGGCTGTTTCATATGCATCATAATGCTGCAATGGAGGGTCACCTTAAAGCATCTGCAATGCTACTAGTACATTTAACTGATGCTTAGATAATCGATTTTGTGATTTGTTGTTGCTAGAAAATACAAATTACCTCATATAGTATTATGGAAGAAGAAAATACATCAACCTTCTCATCGTATTTCCAGTGCATAAAGACTTGAGATGCCATGTAACGATCTATTGAAGCAAGATAAAATGAAAGCATCATTAATGATTAATCCAAATGCAAATCTGCACAGAGGCTTCTTAATTAGAATAGCTACTCACAACTTCCGGTTTCGCCGGTCATTTTGTAGACATCATAAGAATGTCGTCATTTTGCATTGACAAGAAGAACATTCCTGGACAAATACAGAATATAGAAAGTGATTTCATCTCACTGGTATAGAACAATTAGTTCCCACACTCTCGACTGGAGTGCGTCAGGCACAGATAGATAAACTGCAATAGTCTGAAAACCAATTTAAGATCTATTTTACCGAAATTCCAACCAATCAGATCCCTCTCTATTATGACATTTGGCTCTGTGTGAAGATACGCCATGCCTTTGTCCAAACAAGAATACAATAATTAGAGTGGCATACAACACTTCTAGAGTGATAATAAACACAATGGAGATTAATATCAAGGTCCACTAATTTTCGAGGAAAATACTACTTCAATTTACCTAGCAATATCCATTGCTAAATTGATTGCAGTTAATGGATTCAGTGCTCATTTGCCCTTTAATTGTTGATATAAATCACCCTACAGGAGAAGACAATTCAGAGACTACACATATATGCACTCCTTGTGTGAATATCACTCATCCCTCTCAAGTACTCCGTGATCAACATCAAGGTTTTTTTTTATTATTTTTTCAGTAACAGACGTTCACAGCTACAGGCGTTCCCTTCCATAAAGCTTTCACTATCTCACCAAATGACCCCTGACAATATCAAACTTTGTCAGAGATTTACAAACATTGTTACTAAAGAAAACATCAAACCTAAAACACTGCTACTATTTAGTTGATAAAGGTAGAAATCAAACAAAATTTAATCCTAAGAAACTCCAGAACAAATTAAAATTTGAACCTTTCAACTTTAGAGCTCTCATCCAGCCAGCCAGCAACCATGCCTAGAAAGAAAAAAACACAAATCAAGCATGTCACTACAACAAACTAATACACAATTCTTAAGGAATATTAGATAGACCAAAATAGGCTGATATAACTAAATGGGAAGTTTTACACTTCATTATCCTCTTACTCATTGTCTTCACTATCGTACTCTTCAATGTCTTCAGCAGAATCCCTTATTTGATACGGATCAAATGAATTCTTGTCAAATTGTGGAATATACGGAGAAGTTTCTTGTGGCTGAGAAAGCATCCGACTATATTGTCCACCTTGAGACATCGACATTATAATTTGACGAAGCTGTCCAATCATATATTTTTAGTTCAAAATAATAAAAAATTATTATTAATCTCTTATATGCAACAAATACATACTTGTCTCAATTCTTCATCTTGTCGTTGGAACCGTTGTTCAAATTATTGCTGCAATTGTTGATGTATTTGCTCTTCGTCCTGGTGTAACCTTCATCCATTGCATCCGATTCTGAGGCATTATGGCTTGGAACATGTTGCGAGCATGAACCCTGAAAAATCAACTTGGCAACTTTACCTCTTGAACCAAGACCGGGCACACGACCTTTCTCGTTAAAACCTTCAAATGCATTAATCAAATCTTGGTTGGGACATGGTGGAACATCGTTACCATATCTTTGCGTATATTTTTTAAGCTCTGCCTAAATTTTTTTTTTTTTTTAAAAAAAAACATCTAGCTATACAATTCTAAGAACAAAACAATATGTCATCAATGAAAATTTGTACCTCATGATCAATTGCTTTTTTAGAAGGAAGCATCCCATCCTTTTTATCATAGCATTTTTTATAAAGCTCAACTTCGGTGGGTAAATGTCCTAATTGCTCTACCTGTACAAAATTACATATTAAAATACTGAATATCTTTTTTTTGACATATAACTTTATATGTTAAAACATACCATTTGTCGTCTGACCCTACCCATGGACCGTGCACCACCTCGATATTGATTTGCCATAGCCTCGGGGTTTTTTGCTTGATTTTCTTTATTTCGTATTTGCATATTTTTATATTTTGTAGTATCCCATTACGTAATATTTCCAACCATTTATCTTCTCGGATCCAATTCGGACATCCCTTAAATCGGTTTTTCCTTGCAGTCGTGAAGGATTTCTTAATCATTGCTTGCCCTTTTTCCATGAATAAGTCCCTAATAAGAAACTCGTGGCTAGGGTCCCATCGATAATAATATGTATTTCAAGAATATTAATTTAAGATGATTATACTTAAATTGAAAATAAATATTAATAACAAATATATACATACCTGGAACATCCTAAACCATTCGTATTGTTTATATTGCGGAACTTGTGAGAAATAAATCCAATCTCCTGTAAAATTTCTCCCCCATATATTTGAGATGATTGAAATAATCTCATCAATAGAACTGCATATCCAAAACTACCTTGATATAAGCATAAATTAATATGTAGTAAGCACCAATTAAAACTTTTATTAACTTACTCGAAATTATATGGAGTAATCCACTGACGGTTATCGGGTTGATTACTATTGAATCTTTGATTATTTTCGTTGGGGCCATCTCCATGGGTGGCATAGGAAAAGGTGGAGGTTGATTATCCATTCACTAAAAACACAACTAAAATGAAACTGAGTATTTATAGCTCCGAAACGATAAAATTTTCACAACTCAAATGCTTTAGACTAAAATAGCGGAAGTGGAAGTGGTAACAAAAATGGTGCACATTTAATAATAAATATGATCCCGGAAGAACATCCGAACATCCATCTCACTCACAGGATCTTTGTCCGCCATGATTTATAATGAATTTATTTGATCTTCGACAGTTTTTTAAACTTGGTAAACAAAGTTTTGTCATATTTTTGTATGGCCAGCATAAAAAAAGGGCTATCACAAGATGTCACGATTATATATTGTATATATATAAGTATGTGATGCGTATGCTTTGTACTTGTGGAGGAAGCACCGGACACTTTCAACAAAATACTGATACGATGGACGTTCGTCTGCTACTAGTTCTCCGAGTGTGGGGATGATTGAGAATGAGTAATAATCATACCTAAAAATCATTATACATACTGCATAAATGTGACTATGATAAAAGATACAACAGGGCATGAAATATTGGGGCGCTCAAAATCATATAAAACTCCAAGGAACATGCATAAGAATATATTATGCATCATATAGTCTAGAACCCATCAAAATCTTCCTACTAATATATTCAGTACAAATGGATATATTCAATACAAAATCATGCTTAATTTTAAAGGGTATTAAAATTACCCGCCGTGTAACACCCAATGTTTGCATTGCTACACTTGAGGTTGGCGTGGATCTCAACTCGGTGTTCTCTTGGACATCTAATTGGCAAATGATAAGTTAAAATAATGAATACTTCTGAACATGAAAAATAGTGATCTCACTTTCAATAGTTGATTAAAGTTGAATAAGAATGATTGCATACCTAACAAATTGGATGGGCCGGATATTTTAACATTTGATTTTGAGTCCTCAGTTCTCAAACATAAGCAGATATTAACTATGTTTTGCACATAATGACAAAAACATACATAGAATGAGAACTTCTAGGACAAACCTGATAATACCACATGAAGAGCCTTTCAGATGCTAAATGCCAAGAGAGAGTTTTTGCAGCAACAACGCCTAAACCAAATGTCACTAATGGAATTAGCTAACCAAACATCTAGCACAGTTGCAAAGATTATGGCTGAAATTATAATTGTATACTTGTGCTAGATATAATTAGTATTAATTACTGTTAGAATTTCAGAGCAAGGAAAGCAAGTACCTACTGCGCAAATTGTTGGCACCACAACAAGGTTTTCGATGCATTATCGTTGGCCATGGCTAGCCAATAAATCAAGTTAGCATATCACATTAGGGCTTTGAAAAATGCCAAAATAATGATATTTCTACATTATTAGTTACATAATATTCTTAATATAAGAATCAGACATATTCAATGGAATAGTACACATCAAAATATAAATCAAATTCTTGAAAAGAAATAATAAACATCAAAGCATATTTGCAGAAATATATGCGAACTTCGTGATCCAAATTTACGATCAGAGAGGGAAATTTTGCGCACCAGCTAGAGAGGGAACAGAGCAGAGTAGGGATTCGATTTACGCAGAGAAGATTACCTGTCCGGTGGAGAAAGTAACGGAGAAGAGGAGAAAGTAATGGAGAAGAAGAAACACAGTGAAATAAAAAAGACAGGGAAGAAAAAAGTGGGGGAGGCAGCGACCAGGAGAGTGTGTTGTGGGTAGGGTTCGACTGTATTTATTTAGTTGAGGTGCGGTGGTTCGCGTCTTTTTATATTTTTAAAAAATAATTTATAAGATAGGCGCCAAAATTTGTACCTCTATTTTTTTATTTAAAAATTAATTTTGGTTTACGTATTTTATTTTTAAAATAAATATAATTGAGGGCGGTTGTTAGCGTTTGTTTATTATTTTAAAAAATAATTTATAATATAGGCACGAAAAACCGTGTCTCTATTTTAAAAATTAATTTAATAATCTATTTTATTTTTAAAATTAATATAGCTTAAAAAATAATTTGCAAAAACTGTCTCTATTTTTTATTTGAAAATTAATTTAAGTCATGCATTTATTTCTAAAATTAATATAGTTGAGGCGCGGTAGTTCGAGCCTCTATTTTTTATTTAAAAATTTATTTATTCTCATTCATTTTATTTTAAAATTAATATAGTTGAGGTGCGGTGGTTCGCACCTCTTTTTAATTAAAAAATAATTTAAAAGAGAGGCGCGAAAAATCATGCCTCTATTTTAAAAATTAATTTAATCATCCATTTTATTTTTAAAATTAATATAGCGTGCGATTTTTTATTTTATAAAATAATTTAAAAAATTAATATAGTTTAGGCGTGGTTTTTTAGTCTATTTTTTAATTTAAAAAATAATTTACGGAAAACGGCATCTATTTTTTTATTTGAAAAATTAAATTTAACTCTTGCATTTATTTCTAAAATTAATAGAGTTGAGGCGCGGTGGTTTGCGCCTTTATTTTTTATTTTAAAAAATAATTTATAATTGTGCATTTTATTTTAAAATTAATATAGTTGAAGCGCAGTGGTTCGCGCCTCTTTTTAATTAAAAAATAATTTAAAAGAGAGGCGTGAACAACCGTGCCTCATTGTTTTTAAAAGAAAATAATTAAAATTTACGCACGGAAGATTGCTATTTATGATAAAATATTAATTATTTTCTTATATTAAAAATAATAAGGCGCGATATTCCGCGCGAAATTTATTTTATTATTAATTTGACACGGGTTTCGGTTACTATATGTTCCGAGCCACGTTGCACCTTATTATCCGTGCCCTTTCCCTCTTTTCGGGTAGTGATTAATCAAACATCATATACAATAAATAAATAATAGTTATTTATTTCTTCCAAATTAATCTAATTAATTTGGTACACCGGCCCGTCGCATTTTTACTCACAAAATAATCGATTGCAAAATAACCGATTATCCAACATTCTCCCACGTGAGTGGAAATTTCTATAAAGGAAAGAAGCCCAACTCAATACCTATGAGACATTGACACATCAGAAGATGTAGTTTTTTGCTTTAAAGCTTTCATAGTCAATATTACAGAGTGTACTGGTGGCCCAGTTGACGTGATGCATTGAACTGTTCCACCTTTGCGTGCACTTAGTCAATAATATTGATGTGTCGCTATCTCAGTCTCAACTTTATTATCACGTTTTGATCTATTTCGGCCATGGATCTCGTCTTTGGATTTATAAGTGTGGTGTTTGAAGCGGCCCACACTTCGCACTTATATAGGTAATTCTATATCAAGGTATCTAACTCACACCTTTAGGATCATTAAGAGTCATTGACTCAACCTCACCACTTTTGCACATTATAACACTCATTGTTTTTCAAGGAATTGTAATTGAGTGTTTGTGCCGGACTCTCACAACTTAGTTTTTCCATTGAACAAGGGTTTGAGATTTTCAAGTGATTTGGTTGGGTTACCACTGTAATTTTCTTTATCTTGTGGATTTCAAATCCATTCCCTTTAACAGTTTGTACATTTGATCTCTCTGCAACCCTTTGGTTAGCGGATCCACTAGGTTTATTGATTTTACATATTCAATAGTCAAAACCCCACTGGTAATCAAATGCCTTACAGTGTTATGTCAACATCGGATATGTCGGGATTTACTGTTGTAAATTTCATTTTTAGCCCTTGCTATTGCAGTTTGGCTATCACAGTAAATCATTACGGGAGGTATTGATTTAGTCCAGTATGGAATATCATCCATGAAGTTTCTCAGCCATTCGGCTTCTTTGCCAACTTTGTCCAAGGCGTTGAAGTCCGATTCCACTGTGGACTGTGCAATGCACGTTTGTTTTGTGGTTTCCACAAAACAATTCCTCCTTCAATCGTAAATACATACCCACTTGTAGACAGTGAGTCTTTTGCATCGGATATCCAATTTGCATTGCAGTACCCTTCGAGTAACGGTGAATATTTCCCGTAGTATATGCCAAAATTTAGAGTAAATTTAAGATAACTTAATACTCTTACCAGCGCTTTCCAGTGTTCATGACTGGGGCTGCTAATGTATCGACTCAGCTTGTTTACAGGGCAAGCCAGGTCAGACCTTGTACAATTTGTTAAGTACATTAGGCTTCCAATAATTTTGGCATAGTCTTCTTGAGCTACTGGGTCTCCCATATTCTTGCTCAAGTGTATGTTGAGGTCCATTGGGGTTTTCACTGGAGTATTTTCGTAGGCATTGAACTTTCTTAGTATTTTTTCCACATAGTGAGACTAAGTCAGAACAATACCTTCGTCTTGTCTTAGAATCTTCATTCCAAGGATGACGTGGCTAGCCCTAAATCTTTTATGTCGAAGTTACAACTCAACATGCATTTGACCTAATTGATCAGATTGACCTCTTTAGCCATGATCAGTAGGTCATCTACATAGAGACGTA